CAGATCCCATAAATCTCTGTACAAGACTTCTCAAAATGCCATCAACATAAATCTTCCTCTTCTCCCTGCACCCCCTCCATCTCTAGAGACAGGCACAGGCATACATACACAGACATATTCATGCCCATGTTGCACCCTTAATGTAGCCTAAACCATAAATGGTAAGATAGGGTGCCCTGGTTTATCAGCAGAGGGTTGCTGCATTGCATTACCGAGGAGAAGCTATGAGAACCGATAACCCCAAATGGGATACTAACACTCCATGGAGTCTGTGTATGTTGCGTGTCAGAGGAAAAGTATAGCTGAAAATTATGTTTCTCACTTAATATCACTCTCTCGCTCTCTCTCTCAAACACAAACATACACATACCCACACATCCTGAGTTGCTCTCAGCAGAAGGGTGACATATTAAAATTTACTAATCTAAACCACCCCTGGAGATGATCTAAAGTAGCCTTTCTATGCATAACTAATGGGCACCTATCAAGAGACAGCTATTTTAGTACCATGATGAGAGGCAATAATTCAAATAGCAACCACTGGCATTTTTTGGATGAAACAAGTGTTTTACATAGGAGCTGGGGTCTTCCCTGTCCAGCTCCCCTATCCCCTTTGACAAAGACAGATGAAATATGTGATTTATTCATGTTTTTCAATTCTGTTTTTAAAGGATTTGCATAATTGGGAATAAAGAAATGCCCTCATTGAAGTCAAGGTAAGTGTTGTCATCAATTTCAACAGAACCAGGATATTCCCCCGAAATGGAACAAATTATCTGCTCATGTAGAAGGACACTTACCATATCTGGAAGTCTCATTTTTTGGCAAGTTAGCTCGAAGAATGAAGTTGTTCAAGCTGTTGAGATAGGCTGGAAGGCTGTGATAACCTTCGGGATTATACCACACCTGCACACAATTGAGAAATTGAAACAATTTGGGAGAGAAATTGTTACTGATAACATTTTGGTTTGTTCTGCTTACACAGATGAATTATTCCATGGTTGTTATCTAAAGTCATAGGCTCTACAGGTTAAAGTCCAATGATTAAACCACATCAAGTACTGAATAAGTATAAAAGCGCATTTCACTTTCAATAAAAGTAGTCCCATCAGCTTCATTTACCTTCTGGGAGAGAAGAAAGAAGCACTAGCTGGATATGTGACATAAAGCATACAGACACTTGTTTTCTTCTCTATAATAAGTTGTTCAGATCTGATGAACAACAGCTGGAGACTTCCCAAAGAAGGCTAAGCAGTCAAATATCTAACACCCCTCGAAAGCCAGGGGGAAAAAGGTTGCTTTAGGGCAGAAGATAGCCAGTTGTCACCTCCTCATTCAGCAACAGCCCTTCCCTCCCCATGATAACTTTTCTTATCTCTACCATGATAAACCCTGAGAACTGAAGGGAAAAAAAATCAGATCACAGGAAATGCCCTTTCCTGTGAGGGGATTTACCATCAGCTACTTTAGGCACAACCCACAGCACCCAGGTTGGAGGTGTAAGTTACCTACCAAAGGACAGAGAGCTTAGGCTATTCAGGTTAGAGGCTTAAACACAGCCCACAGCATCCACCTTTGCATATCCCCGAGTCCTGCATGCTCAGTGATTTCATCCTCCTTGACCTAGCAAACCAAGGACCGGAGTCTGCCCTGCTTCCAACACTATCAAGGTTTCCAGGTACTAAATCTGACAAGTGATAAGCAAATAGCAATGCTTTCAGATCTAAGATAGAGCTGTAAGATTGGAGGGGTGAAAACATCTGCAAATTCATTACATGAGCTCTGACTGTTGGTGAAACAATAAACCCTGTGATTCCCTTTTACTGGAGCCACCTCTGAAAACAGCACTGCTCTTGCAGGAACGCTCTCCAGGTAGCTAGGTTTTGCAGCAAGATCACAGGATCTTGTAAACTCTCTTGCATTTCCCTGCTACCTCAGATTTCAGCCTTGGTGCTTTTAATGCTGATGCATTACAACATTTTCACTCAGCAGAAACAAAGAAATGGGTATCTTGGAATGTACCAGCCAGCCCTAGTTAAGGTACGTATGTTCTCTCATGAGATAAAGGTGCTACTAATTGATCTTTTCACCTCTGTATAATAAAATTATGACAGCAGAAAAATAGTCTCCTGCTAGCATGAGAAATCAGAGCAATAAAGAAGAATGGGGAGAGGAAAGGAAATGAACTGCAAGTCATCTTGCCCATGCCAAGCAGCAGATTTCAAAGAGTTTCGGTTTATTTTCTGAAATATCCCTGAAATCGACATCACTCCTCCTGGGTCCCACACTTCCCATGTTAGGACGAGCAGATGGAAGTTAGTTACCTTAGTCAATGTTCTGTTGGGGGGCACTGGCCTGATATCGAACCGTAGATCTGCTGTCAAAGGCAACCCGAAGCTCCAGCCACCATACCTGAGAGAAAACCAGAGGGAAATGCATTGCTACCCTCATTCAAAAGCTTTCATACCTTTGGTTGGTGCATGTTAGTGTGCCACTGCCACCCCAGTTAATTCTAGCTTGACTTAAAAGAAATTATCCCAGTATGTAGTGTGTGGCCAAGCCAACACTGTGGCAGGAGCCCTTATCTGGGGAAAAAAGGGAAACAGAATCTTGGCAGTGCTATCACAAAACTGTGCTGAAAGCCTCCATCTGAGAAACATTTTGGAGCCACATGGACTCCTAACCCACTTGCCTACTACATTGGAATAAGATGAGTGCTTCTTACCCAGAAGACGAGGCAGCTCAGTTTAAATCAATGGCAGATGAACATATTCCTTGACAACCTTAATGGCAGGCTATTTTTGCCCCAAGACATGCTGCGCGGCTGTGCTGCAGAGTCCAGACACACTAATAGCTCTAACAGCCCCATGGTGCAAGAAAACATTCAGCCTCTAATTTCACTGGAACGGATGCACTTGTTTAAGTGAAGCACACACTGAGACTCTTCAGAGAGTCAAACCTGGAGGAAAGTCTCTCCCTGGGATTTACTTCATGACAGGCTGTGTCAGATTTTCCTCTTTTTAAGCATTTCTGAGTCAGACAAAGGCTTGTCTGCAGATCCAGCCATCAGCCTATCAGATGATTGACACATTATCCCTAGGCTATCTCTGCTATGATGAAGCAGGGCACTTGCATGAACCTTTATCTTTAACTCTGTGACTGCAGGATGTTTTACTTCCTTTCACCAGATTCACAGAGACCATCAGCAGAGAGGCCCTTCTAAACCCCTACTGCCCTGTCACCTCTTCAAGCCCAGTGGATATGATATGTGTAAGAGACTGCTCCCAGTACAATTCAGAGGAGAAGGACTTATGCTGTACCGTTTTTGCAGGAAGTCTTTGGTAGTTGCCAGAATGTAGGTCTCCACATTGTGCCCTGTAAGGTTATAAAGTGTCCGTGTGGAGAAGGTCCTTCTGTGAGGGGGAGTGTAGTTCGTTTGTGGACATATCTGAGTGGAGACAAATGAACAAAGACATTAGTGTCTGTGTTTTAACTAAAAACTAGCATATCAGGACAAGATTGAGAGCAGAAAATGGTAACATTCTGGTCCTGGGACTGATTCCTACAGAAGCTGATGATCTGCAAATCAGGGTGCAAAAACACATGGCATACATCCCTGCATGCTGTCCTGAATATATTTAGCAACGTGCTTAAAAACAATCTTTGCTTAAATCTACACTTCAGTCCTATTGACATCAGTGAGGCCTTGAAATGTGCTTCATGCTACATAGGCAGATTTTTGCTGAATTAAGGCTGATCCTACTTAGCAGAGCATCAGAGTGACTGCACAGACAACAGCAGAGAGCAAAACAACTCATGGAGCAGAAAACTCCATGGTGGCCTCAAACTCTCATCTTGCATTTCACAGCACCTACACTCTACAGTTTTACTTTACCGTCAGTCATTGGGAATATTTTCCAGAGCTTCAGAGAAACCTTGGATTACTCCCTGAATATATAATTTAACATGCTAAGAGTCAAAGTCACATCAACTGTTTCATAAGGTTGAAGTGTCCTACCAGACAGCATGCTGGCTGCTTCTTTCAGCTCATCCATAACAAAAACCCTGGCCTCCCCCATTGTGTATCTGTTCATAACTTTGCATCAGAATACACAAAATAGCTTTCTTCATGCTGAGGAACACCTGCCTGTGCCTGCTAGAGGTGAGAATCAGCTTTGAACATTATCCTGACTTACAGGAGAAATTAAGCCGATACTTTTAATGATGTGAAATTAAGTGTATGTCCAGAAAACTCCATAAAATAGCTGCATTTTAAGGAATGACTAGGAACATTCAATTAAGTACTTGCTTTATCTTACAAATGGCATCACACTACGCCCTGCGTCTGGTTTCCTACTGGAAAAAAGCTGAAGACAGGTGAACAGCACTGGAGGGAGGAGAGCTCACCTTCAAACTGGACTGTAAAATTGCAACATCATTGGGGCAGAATCTGCCTTTTCCCCACATGCATATATAGACACTAAGCCCAGCAGTACCCATATCTGATTCTGTATGTACCACCGTAGTGCAAATAACTGATGTTATTAATCATCACTATTTACGAAGCAGAGTAAAAGCAGATGGATCTAGACTTTGCATAAAGTTAAATTCTGAAGAGCAAACAGCAGTAATAGCTGTGCTTTCATATAATGACAGCGCTTGTATAAAATGCAATTTTCCTCTTGAATACACGTTCACCTCTGCTAAATGGGACAATCATACAACATTGAAAAACACTGTTAAACCTTTTCCCACCACAGGGAGGAAGGCAGATACGTTAGCATGCGAATCTTCTGAGGATGCTGTTTCCTTTCCTGTCCCCAAACTGGTGCAGACAGTGGTTATCCAGTGTACAAAATCAACAAGGCCAAAGAGACAGGAGGAATCTGAACACTGAGTTCCCCTTAGTATCATGCCGGCCCACAAAACCACTCCCAACCTACAAGGCTCCTGAAATATCCCCCCAAACTCCCTCTCTTTTGGGTTTATTCAAATTACCTGGATGCCATCTGTGCAGTTGCAGGCAGAATACTTAGTTCTCTGGTTTCCACTGAAAATCCACTGGCCAAGCATGTCCTCCTTTAAACACTGCCTGAAAATGAACACATTTTCCTCTGAGGTTCTCTATGCTCAGGTGTGCAAACGATGCTAATTGCTGTCATGTTTAATGACAGGAAGGATGGCAGTGAGCAGCTTCAGCAGAAAAGCAGACCTCCTTGTCAGCTCTGGGTGCTTCAGGGAATACCCATCCTCCCACTGCCTTCAGTGCCTCTCGGCAGAGAGCCCTCACTACTGCTCTCTGCGCCTGGATTCATTCAGCTGTTTAGAAGGAAACCAGACACCACTTCATTCCCACAGTAGACTGTGTAAGAAGTTAGCACGCAAAGGCCAAAATCACCTTACAGTGCAGAAATAAGGGCTATTGTCATTGCAATAACTAGGGAGTCCTGCAACGGGCTGTGTTAACTAGGGAGTCACTGTAAATACTCAGTATAAATATTTGCCTGCAGATATGTGGCACACACGAGCATGCAAGTCTGCCCAGGAATTTACTACCAATTCCTTGAAAATTTATCTGCAGAGGCCAAAACAAACCAGCCCTCATGGCACAGCTTTTAGATACAGATAACAAAAGCTATGCTGCGAACTTTCTGGGTGGGCTCAGTGTTATGATTGGGTTTACTGGGGAGGCAAGGACTATTTCCCAGATATGAGAATAGCTTGATCTCATCCTGGCATCCTGCCACCACCAAAGCTGCTCCCTTACTACTCATAGTAATAAAGGAGTCCACTTGTGGTGGTGAATACTTCTTGAAGGAAGCAAAATACACCAGTGTCAAAGTCCTGGGACTGTGTGGAAGTCCCAGTCTCAGCCTTAAAGGACAGTATAGTTTCCTGTCTTCAAGAACATCTACAGTCCTGTGCTGGCAGATGCAAGCCTTCGCTCAAAGCCACACAGGACCCATGGAGGCTCTCAGCAGGGCTGAGGTCTGCTTCACACCAATCACGACTACACAGCTCCCCACTTGGAACTGACTTGCACCTCGCCAGCTCATGTCTGTGAGCAGCACAAACTTGCGCCTGCCTGCAAAAGGCCAGTTAGACATCTAATGAGCTGGAAGAGTCTGCAAGTCAATCTAAAGAGAAGCAGGAGATTTTTTTTTTTCTCTGCATGTGGCACCAATGTACGAAAATTCTGCAGATAATCAAAGATGGTTGTTAAGGTCTAATGGCTAATAGTGTTATGTCAATTCTCTTGTTAATTTTGGAATTTAAATGGAAGGAAACCAAGAACTACTTACGAATTGCTTTCATTCATGCATGTGTTATCCGTTCCAGGGAAAGCAAGCATCGAAGCGACTAACGCATCTGTGGTTTCATTAAAATTCCTAAGATTTAACAAAGGAAAAAAAAGAAAAAAGAAGAAAGAAATGTTCAAGGTACTTCCACTACCACTGAGCAGAGGAAACCTGTGTCTGAACGTGTGCTGGTTTTGGCTGGGATAGAGTTAATTTTCTTCATAGTAGCTAGCATAGGGCTACATTTTGGATTTGTGCTGGGAACAGTGTTGATAACACAGGGATGTTTTCGTTATTGCTGAGCAGTGCTTACACAGAGTCAAGGCCTTTTCTGCTCCTCACACCACCCCACCAGCAAGGAGGCTGGGGGTGCACAAGCTGGGAGGGGACACAGCCGGGACAGCTGACCCCAACTGACCAAAGGGATATCCCACACCATATGATGTCATGCTCAGCAACAAAAGCTGGGGGAAGGAGGAGGAAGCGGGGGATGTTCGCAGTGATCACATTTGTCTTCCCAAGTAACCGTTGCACATGGTGGAGCCCTGTTTTCCTGCAGATGGCTGAACACCTGCCTGCCGATGGGAGTAGTGAATGAATTCCTTGTTTTGCTTTGCTTGCGTGCGTGGCTTTTGCTTTACCTATTAAACTGTCTTTATCTCAATCTATGAGTTTTCTCACTTTTACTCTTCTGATTCTCTCCCCCATCCCATTGTGGGGGGAGTAAGCGAGTGGCTGTATGGTGCCTAGTTGCCGGCTGGGGTTAAACCACAACAGAATGAAACAGGATTTATTTAAGATGCTACATAAATAGTTATTTGTGGTGCTAGCCCTGCAAACCACTTATGTACGTGCAGTACATGAGGGCAGTCACACAGGTTTAAAAGGACTGCTTATTGCTTAGAGCTGCACACCTACTCCAGTAATTTGCTGCCTGTAGATCTAAGCAAGGTACTGATGAACTTTTGGACAATCAAGATTCTGTTTCCAGGGAAAAAGCATGTACTGCAATTTTCAGGCACTACTTGTCTTGTCTCAATTGCTCTCTCATTTGTGAAGTCTGTTTGGTTTTGGTAATTCAGGAAGATGCTTCTTGCTTCTGACCCAGCTTTCTAGCAATGATCCGTCCGGAGAAGCAGAGAACATTAGGAACAGAGGTCTCAGACATGCAGTTCTGGCTTATTCCCCCATCTAGTAGTACTGAAGTAGAAAGGCATGAGCAGTCCTGGGAAAGAACACCTAAGAGCAGACATGCTTCCTTTAGAGCTAAATATTATATTTCTGACTTAAAGCTGAGAACCACTGGAGAAAGACAGCAGTTCACATCATGAAATCAGAATGATACAAATGATAACAATTTTGGTAACAGGATTTTCAAGCACAATTAAATAATTCACTGGTGACATCTTAATCACACTAAAAAAGTGCATGCCCTTCAAATGACTGCGTGCCTTGGACTAGTGGGGCCTGGGCAGGAGAGCATGTCTTGTACTGACAGAGAAGAGGGCAATGCAGACAGTTTACAAGATGGATAGAATTTGATCCCAGAGTTGTAATGTTGGAGACAACTGATGTGGGGACCTCCATTTCACATCTGGGGAAGACTATATAGTAGAATATATATATA